TATTTCCGTCAGATGCAAAAATTCATAAATGTTACAGCTGCGAAAATTCTCCCTCTAAATGAAGAACTGATTTTGACCCAAAATAACAATAACCCGCATACACTTCTTCAAACAAAAAAATTCCCTCAATGCAACCCGAAATAGATTTTACCTGTTTTTTATTGGAGGGAGCGAAGGGGGAGGGGGGGGGAGAGGGGGGAGGAAGGAGCAAAAAGATTCTGTAAAAATTCTCATAAATAAATTGGTTTTGGACTCATCCGCACACTGCTTCCTCGAACAAAAAAAACTCCCTCAGTGCCTCTTGAAACAGATTTCGCCCGCTTTTTTGAGGAGAGGGAGGGGGAGGGGACCAAATCTGTTAAATTTGCAACAACTGAATGTTAAAACATACTCGTTCGTATTCTTGACGACGGTCTTCGCTTGCGATATCAATATTAGCAATCAAATCTTTTAGCTTTTTTGCTAAATGCTGCTCTTCCTTGGTGGTACCAGCGGTGGATTCTTGTGATTTCTACAAAAAAAATCAACATTTTGTCACATGATTTAGTAACAGTCTCCGTCAAACTCGCACTATTATTAATAATTCTCTCAGTTATCGATAAAATGCTAGAAATCAGAGCTAATCGAACTGTTTTAAATACATTCATATTACAAAAATATCAAAAAAATAAATAAAATCCTCCCCTCATAACCTGCACTGGCAGATCCAGAGAGGAAGGGAAGGGGGGAGGGGATGGGTCTTCCGCCCAGTAGCACGAGTAGCAGTGATAAAAGTGAAGAAAACTGTCTTCGACATGGCTTATCATCCCTTCCCCCCCCCCCTTCTACCCATTTTCTTCCCGCTGTCCCCCCCCCCCTTCTCCCTCGGTCGTTACCACTACAGACGGTGACCGGGAGGGGTGAAAAATCGCCCAAATTGTCCTTCCCCCCCCCCCTTGCCCCAGGAAACCGCCCTGGAATCGCCTATGATTACCTGGAATTTAGCTCTTATCTGAATTCTTCCTTTCAACTTCAACTTTCTTTTCTTTACTATTACTTTGATTTGCTATTTATACTTAACACATTCCATGCAAAAAAATTTTTTTGGAGTGTAAATTTTGCAAAAAAAAATTTTAAAAAAAACTTCTATACTTTTTTCTGTAAAGTTTCCGCCGATGGTAAATCCTCCATTGATTTTTCCAAAATCGCTGTCTCTTTCTGTGCTCCATTTGTTTCAGCTTTTTTAACTCGAGCATAGGCACTACTTTCGAGGCCCTGAAACACCAAGATATACCAAGACTGCTGTATAATCCTGTCAGTGCAGATATTTCCTGTTAGTAATATTACTAGGAGGCTCCCGCACGCCAAGCGCAGCTATATAAGGCCCTTCGATCCTGCGTACCTCTGCATACCTCCAGTTACTACCCACCGCCTGTTTTGTGCATGTGCTTCACCTACAGGGGTCCTAAAATAGCTATCATTTAATATTACGCCAAAAGCCTTCCTAGCAATCATAATTCTAGAAATTTGTGCATTTCGGGAGGGCAGAGATTCTTTAGCGTAATTCTTAAAAATACCAAAAAATCTCTGCTAAATTCCCACAAATACGCTTTAAACACAAATACCGCTAGGCGTTTTACATCACTTAGTATCATGTATGAGTAGGAATAAAGGCCAGTAGGAAGGCCACCGATGCGCTGGTCCGATCTACTAACACGATTAGATGGAGTATTGTGGATGAGGTGAGCTCAGGAAAGGACTCCGTGGCGTGGCTGTCGGCTCAGCAATCACTGGAGAAGATCAACAGCGCGTCAGTGACGGAAACGCCGTATCAATTAAAACTGAACGGTCCAAGTACGGCCACTGAAGAGAGCGAAATTGTCAAGTGGTTTTTTGCAACCGTTGATTGAAATTTTATTATTACAGCAGTAAAGCAAATCCAACGTATTAAATATCAGTTATAAGGTCAGTAGGAAGTCCACCGATGCGCTGGTCCGATCTGCTAACACGATTATATGGAGTATTGTGGATGAGGTGAGCTCAGGAAAGGACTCCGTGGCGTGGTTCTCGGCTCAGCCAGCAGTCACTGGAGAAGATCAACAGCTCGTCAGTGACGGAAACACCGTATCAATTATCAAGTAAATACGAGAAAGAAAATCAACAATCGATATAGCTTCAAAGAGGTGGCGCTGGAGCTCATACGCTGTACGACCAGTATAAATAGGAGGCAAATATCAAAAAAAAAAAAAAAAAATGCTTGTTTACAGCTTCATGGACCGAAACATCATTGAATTTTGGCAAAAAAAGCAAGTGCTTAAAATTTTTTTTTGTAGGTAGAGATTCAGTTTGAGGTATGCGTGGTTCTTACGTACGATCACTTAAAATTCTTGGCGAAAAAATTTCTTATTCTCCAGTGGCGCTATAGCGCTGCACAGCGAAAACGCATAAAAACTGACAAAAATTGGAAAGGTTTTTAAACTTCATTAATCAAAATGTATGGCAAGCCATTTTCTCGCCAAAAATTTTCACGGAGCCGTACTTGAGAACGACACTTACCGAAGGGCTGAATTCGTTTCCAGTTCACCATTCTCTTCTTTTTTTACCCATTCTCATTATCTTCCCTTTTTTCCCCTTGATTGTCTCATTCAATTCATATCCTTTTAAATATTTGACAAAAAAAGCAATGCTCCACATTTATCGCTGAGCTTTATCAAGATAGCTATCAA